CAGGAAACCTAAGCTTCTCCTTGCAGAAGGAGATACAAATCAGAAGAGTTTCTGTTTTTCTTTTTAAAGGTTTTTTGTTGACTTTTAGAGAGAGAGAAAAGGAGAAGGAAAGAGAAATATTGATGTGAGAATGAAACATCAATTGTCCGCCTCCTGCACACACCCTACAGGGGATCAAGCCGGAAACCCAGGCGTGTGCCCTGACCAGGAATCTAACTGGCAACCTTTTGGTGCGTGGGACAACGCTCAACCAACTGAGCCACCTGCAAAAGCCACAAGGAATGTCTGACTTCCCAGATTATTCTAAACTTCCCAGATTTCTAAACTTTGCTGAAAGGCAAGGCTCTCCACATTGGCCCTGGGGCAATCTCTCACACACCTGCCAGCTTCCTTCTATGCACAAATGAAAGTGGCCTCCCTTTTCCATAGCCGACTTCTCTTTTAATAATTTTTTTCTTCTTTTCCATAAAGAGAACAAGCAGCTTTACTAAAGAACGGCTGTGAAATGATTGAAGTTCCCATGCAAACAAACCATTAACAGAGTTCAAATGCAATTTAAATTACCAGTTGTTAAAGTGCTCCTCAATTTCGTGGTAAGTTTCCAAGGAGAATTATATGCTATATACTATTTAATTGGTTGTTTTCTATTTTTTAACATCCATTTATCCCCCCACCACCCTTATATTTCAGAAGTGTCTATAAAAGCTTCCCTTTAAAAAATTATACATTGTTGAATAGATTAAATCTAAAGATTGAAAAGTATCAGAGAAACAGCTGCAGAATTATGCAGCTCAGCAAAATTGATGGTTTTGACACCATAAAACACACAGAATTTTAAAATCTTAGGAGTCATCTCATAGTGCCATCATTTTTTACAGATGAAGACACTGAAGACCCCCGATGAGAAAAGGGAGGATTGGCTCAAAGTCCTCCCACTGGTCAGTAGTGGAATCAAGATGAGAGCCATAGCTGCTAACTCCTAGCCCTTCCCACCACCACATGGTTGGAGGAGATGATGGGAAACACTCAATGAATTTTCCACTAATAATGTTTTAAAAGAAAATCCTTTTCAAATACACTCCTGACCTCAAAAGCAGAGATGAGCAAAAGCAAATATCTCCCCCAAAGGGAGAAAAGGAAGTAAAGGCTGATGAATGAGTAGTCAAAGAAGTTCAAAATGAGCAGATTCTTGGCAGGAGAAGTCAAGACAGTCATCTAGATTCACAAATCAAGTGATGAGACATCAAGGCTGCCTACTTCCACTGCTTTATCTAGCCTGGAGTGAGGGCCTGACCCTGGAGTGAGAGAATAAAAGATCAGCAAAGTAAAGGGAGGTCTTGTCACATCTGTAGATAAAAACCATTTCTAGAGGCCACTGTGAGTACAGATGAAGTTCAAGGCTTGACATTGGACTTGTGTAAGTTATTTACGCTCTCTGAGCTCAAGCTTCCCTGTCTACAAAACAGAGCTAATACCACCTACCCATCAGGGAGTATATAACCGTGTCCGGAATTCTGTATCCAGCATGCACAGCACAGAGCCATCATGTCTGTGTCAGAATCTTGACTGCTATGGTTTCTGTAATGTCTCAAAGAATATGGTTCTGTAGTTCTAATTATATGAACTATAGCTGAGTCTTATAAGCCATGTATGTTCCCTAAGTCTGTTAGATGCTATATGTCTTCTGATCATAAATTTATTTATTTTGTCACTCAAGAAAATAAAACAAAGCAAAACAAGTGCATGAAAACTTCAACATCCAAGCATTTTCCTTCAAAAGCAGACTTTTGGGAACTGCTATTTAAAAATGGCCTTCAAATCCAGTTTATGAACCAAATACCAATTTAATGTCCAAAACAATCATTTAGCCTGTCCATCAACCCTATGAGAAAGATTTCTCAATTATCCATTGAGGAAACTGAGGGTCAGGGAGGTTAGGCAAGGTTTCAGGACTAGGAAATGGGAAAGCCAAGAATTTAACCCTTGGTCTTCAGAGGCCAGGAAACGGTAAAGCCAGGACTTAAACTTTGGTCTTCTAAATAAAGCTCCATGGCACAAGTTTTATTACTTAGCACTTAACAACCATGCTATGGACAGCTATTCTGCTAGAGGCAGAAATATGCCTAAAAAAACTCTTCTGTTATTTTCACATTTCAAGGAGCTTTGGGATAAAAAATAAAGGCTGAACTTTCAAACTAAAAAAAAAAGTTCACATTAGAAGCAGATAGATCCTTCCTGAATTCTACCTTCTTGTTGTAAGTGAAATAAGCTCAGAGCCCTGACACTAAGAGGACATGTGCTGGGTACATGGGAAGCATACCTGAGAAAGGTTAGCAATGAGCTGATAGCAGGCCAATTCAAAGAAAGAATTCAAATGGCTGGGCTCACTACCAAACAAGTACCAATAACCCCAGGATGAGCTTCTGAACATCCCTCAGATGCAACTGTTAGTTAACAGAATGTCATGGGCCCCACATTCAGAGGTACACAAAACACACTTGCTAGCACCTCCTGTCCTTAGTAAGGCACAGTGCACGGACCTAGCAGGTGCAGGTACTTAGTTAGGTATGCCTTGAGCTCTCAAAGCGCTGAGAACCTCGTTGGAGATGCTCAAACACACAAAACAGAAAGAAAAGTGTGCAAAGCACAAGTACATGCAATGTAGTTTTGAGGGCCTGGGAGAGCTCTGCAGATGACTTCTAAACTGAGCCTGAACACCCAGGAGGATTTCCACGTATGAAGGGGAGGAAGTAGGCCCAGGGAACACAATGTGCTAAGGCCTTGAGGAA